TTAAGTAAAATATTTTAAAAAAAAAAAAACCTAAGGTAATATAGTATAAAAATTTAGCCCCTTTTTTATTAATTATTATATTACCTTTTATTTATAAAGTAACACTAGGCAAAGCTAATATTAAAAAACTAAAATATATAAAACTAAACCTAATACCTTTACCTAAATATATACCTTATTTTTTAATAATATAACAAGTTAGCTACATGCTAGGCTTTACTAAAACTCCTGCTATTTTTAATAAAAATAACTAAATTAATTATATTACTAATACATACACGGCAGTAATAATAATTTTAAAAAACTTTAAAATTAATAACTACTAACTCTTGGATAAAGCAGGGCTAGGCATAACTAAAAAAGATTATTATATTAAATACTTAAAAAAAAAGCTTTAAAAAATAGTACTAAAGCTTGTAAAAGCAAACCTGGATATATTAAAAACTATATATTAAAAAATAATAAAGTAAATTACCAAGTAGCACGTGAAATAGTATATAAAAAAGGTAAACTTGCTTATTAAACTATAAAAAAAAGTAAAGGCCAACACCATGCTACTAAAAATCTTCCCTAAAATATTAACACGCGCTAATATAAACAAGTTATATATTATTTAGCTTTAAGGCACCTAAAATAAAAAAGTAGCTATTATAAAGTTAATAAAATATTTAACCTTTAAAAACTAATTTACTAGTATTTTTTATTATGGCCTGGAGCGGGTGTTTTATAAGTATAATATATTAAAGGGTAAAGCTAACTAGGCCCAGCATAATATTAAAGTCTGTATTATTAATTATTAATAAATAATTATAAAAATAAAAGGTATTATTTAGTATTACACGCAAAAAATTTACTATAAAATAAATTACACCTTGCTAACCCTAATAAATACCATAGGGACTATATAAAACCTTTTTAATATATAAGGCTTTAAAAGCGCCAGCTCCGCACTTTTTAAGCCCTTTGGTCCTAGACTTTTTAGTCTTAATTTTAGCGCCAGCTTCCCATAATAAAATACACCTTAAAATAATACTTAGTTTAAGTATTTAAACACTTTAGTAGTATTATAATAACTAGGTAACTAGTTAACTATTTTTAATATATACCTAGTATTTTTTATAATAGCACGCTATTAAATAATAAAAAACCTAGTAAATTTTTTAATAATTTACTTAATAAGCTTAGCTATAACCCGGAAGCTTTATATTATTAATATTTATAATATAATTAGCTTACCAACCCCTAAAAACCTTAAAAAAAAATAAGTAAAGCTAAATTATTACTTAATTACTTTACATGGTTTATATAAGAAACACTGCCTAAACTTTACATAAAAAAATGTTAAAGCTAGCTATTTTTAAGAATAGGCTTTTAAAGTAATTATTAAGCATGTTAAAAACATGCCTAAATATTTATTTAAAATAATATTTATAATTTACGTAGCAAAGCTTTTTACAGCCCTAAAAATATTTTATACTAATTATTTAAAAAATATATAAAGCAAGGTTTTTAATCCAGTGTCCTATAATATAAAAATATAGATTATATATAAGTACTTTACTACTTACCTTAAATATAAAAAAAAAAAAAAATAAGCTAGTTTATAGCTAGACTTTTTGCAAGTTTATACTTTAAATATTATTTTATACTTATAATACCCCTTTTTTACTTTATTTTATATTTTTTACTTTATTTTATATTCTTAGAATTTGTACTACGCTTTTTAATATAGTTTTACTTTTTTTTTTTTAATATTTATTAAGCTTAACTTTAGTTATTACCTGTTTTCATGTGGCTACAAGCTTTACTTATTTTTTTTTATTACTTAGTATTACAAGTTATGTTTTATTTATTAAGCCCAGCTTTAACTTAAATTTTTTAATTTTTTTTTATTACTTAATATTATAAGTATTTTATTTATTAAGCCTAGCTTTAACTTAAATTCTTTTTAATATTACTAGTTTAGCTTTTTATACACTATGCTTTTTTAATAGGGGGAATATATAGCAAACTATAAGCCATATTCCAAAGTACAGGTTCTACCTTATACTACCACCCCAGGCATATAACTATAGCTACTTCGGCCGCTCCGCGGCTTAGCCAAGAATTCAAGACTCTTTACATCCACATACGGTGCTATACGCTACCACACTTTCTTACCTTTTTTATTACTTACTTATTTTACTAGCTAACCTTTTTAATACATGCCTTTATAACTTTATAGTAAAATAAATTATAAGTAAAATTTTTTTTTTTAATATTTTTACTTTTTTTTTAGCTAGCAGGCCTTATACCTTTACTAGGTTTTATACTATAATATAAGGGTTAATTTAAAAAAATTTATGGCTTTTAAAAAGGTGCTATTACTAGTAAAACTAATATAAAAATAATAATAAAAATTTTTACTAGTAGGCTAGTATTATATGAATATAAAGAATTTTAATAATTTTTTTAGTATTTTTATATACTATTTTATTAAAGGCTTCCCTTTTACAGGCAGGAGATAGTACTTTTAAAGTATAATAACCTTTTATAATATGTGTATAAAGATTGTACTAAGTATAAAGTAGAATAAGGGGGTTATAAAAGGTAAAAAATAGGTAATTTTTTTTAAAGTATTATATAAACCTGTAAATAACAATAAACTATTATATTTTTTATTTAATAAATAATTATTAATAAATTATTTATAGGTGTACTATTTTTTTAATATAATATAAAACCCCTTATTTTAAAATATAATAATTTAGTTAAAGTATTAAATTTTATTAATATAGCAGGTTAAAAAGCAGCGCTTAATATTTTTTTTAAGCTATTAATTTTTAATATAATTTATAAAATTATACTAACTATACTTTTTATACTAAGCGTGAACTTAAAGCTAGTTATTTTAAAAGGCTTTTTTTAATACTTAATAAAAATACCTTGCTAAGCGGAGCTTTATTAAAGCTTATTTATTATTTACTTTTTAAAGTAAAATATACTAATTAATAAAATTAAGCAGCTTTAATATAGCCTTAACTTATATTTTAATAATAATTTTTTTTTTACCCTAGCTATAATATTATTTATAATATACTATTAATAAAGTATATGCTTTAATAAAAAAAATATATTATTAAGGGTGTTTAAAAGCGCTATATTATAGTTAGTTAAAATAATTAAGGGCCTATTTATCCTAGTACTAGACTTAAAAGGCTTAATAAAGTAATAAAAGTAGGTACTTTTAATATTATTTAATACTTATGTATATAACTTTTTATTTTTTTTTACTTAAAAAGGCAAAGCTAATATAAAATATCTTGTTTATAGTTATTATTTTAATAATATTTAATAATAAAAGGCTATACTTATTTATTTTATATATATAATTTATAAAAAAAATAAACAGGAATTACTTTAATAACTTAATAATTTACTTATATATAAAAAAAAGGCAGTATAGCTTACTATTTATTAAGTAATAATAATTAAATATTTATATTATAAAATTATTAAAAAATATAAGTAATACTTATATAGGTGTTTTACTAGTAAGCTAATACTTAAAAAAAGTGTATTAATAGTTTTAAATATTTTTTAATTAAATAAGGCATTTAGGAATCTTATAATATAAATAGCTTAAAATAATATATATTAAAGTACTAAGCTTAACCGCTTAATTAATTTATACCTAGTATTAAAGTATTTATTATTATTAATATTATACCTAAGTACTAGGTAATATAGGCCTATAATTATAACTTATATTATAAGTTTAAAAATATTAATAGCTATTATTTATATAAAGGCGTACTATATAATAAAACAGGTAGTTTAGCTTTTTAATAAAGGTAAACTAGTGCTTAAAAATATCCCTATTTTTATTATTTTTTTTTACTATACCCGGAGTTATAAAGCCCTTTATAATAAAGGCCTTTACTATATTTAAAGTTATAAAAAGCTTTAGTATAAAGTCTTTTATAATTATATTTTTTTAATTTTTTATTATTTTTAGTGCTATAAAAAACTTTATAGTTATAAAAGGCTTTATATTAAAGCTTTTTATAGCTTTAAGTATAGTAAAGGCCTTTATTATAAAGCCTTTTATAACTATATTTTTTAAGCTAGCTAATAATATACCTTAGGTGTATAATAGCCTTTAAGACTATATTAAAGTATTACTTTTTTTACCTTTAATTAAAAAATAGTAATAAAGTAAAGGTTATTTTTTATATATTATTAAATAAAGTATAGCGCGGTTTTTTTATTAAAATAAGAATTATTAAGTAAAAAAAATAAAAGTTTAGCACTAGTAACAGGCCTATTAATATTAATTAATAAATTAAGAGTATTTTAAACTTTTTTATTAAGGTTAAAATTATAAAATTTTGTTATTATAGCAGGTTTTATAGTTATAATAGGTTACTTAGGTTAAGAATTTATATTAAAAAAAATATATAAATATTTATCACGCAGGAGTTTTAAAGTTCTAAAAATTAAAAGTTTTAAATAACTTTACTTTTATTAATTAATTTACTAGGCGGAGGTTACGCCGCGGCGGCGTGAAAAAGTATTATTATTTTATTATTAAAGGGGGGGGGTGTATGTAGTTACCGGGCGCCTTTTTAATTAAAACGTCTTACTTAGGCGTTGCTTACGTTAGATACAGCCTAGGGGGGTAAATCTAGTCATCTGGGGGGTGTACGGAGTGACACCCCACGGCAGGCCTCCCGACGCATCCCAATTGATAACAGATCTCCACGCGAATGACCTCAAGCTCAGCCCGGGCGTTTCACCTACCCCAAGCGCCCCAGATTGCCTGACCGCTGATGTAATTACCTAGGTAGCCTAGATAGCGGCATAGCCATTTGTTTCCCTAGGGAAACGCCTTGGCTTGGCCCTAAGGACGTGCTGGACCGTAGATGCCATAAAAGGCTAGCATTCCTACCGGGCAGCCCCCATCCGCCCTCAACCCTCTCCACTCTCACCCTGAACACCACCGATTGCCACAAGATACCATGTCTCAAGAGCACAAGATGAAGCCCGAACATGAACCCGAGGACCCAGCTCTCGGCCAGGTCCCCTCCGTGCTGGCAGAGGGCGAAGTCACGGCCCATCCGGCCACAGCCCACGACGACGTCTTCGGTGAGATCTCTGAAAATGGGCCAAACTATCGTGATGTACGCCATCCATTCCCTATACACGATCAGCCTAGGAGGTGAACTGACAAGCGTAGGTTGGCTGGCTCGGCACCGTCGCGCTCATGATGAAGACGCAAATCGGCCTAGGTGTCCTCTCCATCCCGTCTGCATTCGACACACTCGGCCTTATCCCAGGCATGATCTGTATGCTGGTCATTGCGGCTATAACCACCTGGTCGGACTACATGATCGGTGTCTTCAAGTTGAATCACCGTGAGGTCTACTCCATTGCTGATGCCGGTGGTCTGATGTTTGGGAAGCCGGGGAAGGCGTTCTTTGGGGGGGCGTATGTTCTCTGTATGTCTCCATCTCTGTCTTTCACTGGATCTGGATGTAGCTGACCGCAGACCTGTAGACTGGATCTTCGTCGCCGGCTCCGGAATGCTGAGCATCTCGATCGGCCTGAACGCCGTCTCCACGCACGGTGCCTGCACCGCTATCTTCGTGGCCGTTGCAGCCATCATCGGCTTTACCTTTGGCAGTATCCGCACTCTGGGCAAGCTGGGCTTCCCTGCCTGGGTTGGATTGACTTGCATTCTCACAGCCAGTACGCTCATTCCTTCCTAGGTATTAGGTATCATGCTAACTCCCCAGTCTTCACCGTCACAATCGCAGTAGGCGTGCAAGACCGCCCCTCCGAAGCGCCGCAAACAGACACCCCCTGGAAATCCGACTTCAAGGTCATCGGCAACCCCTCCTTCACCGAGGCCATCACCGCCGTGTCCTCGCTCATCTTCGCCTACTGCGGCACCCCAGCCTTCTTCGCGATCGTCTCGGAGATGCGTGATCCCAGCTACTACACGCGCAGCCTGATGATCTGCCAGTCCGGCGTCACGGCAATCTACATCACCATCGGGACGGTCGTGTACTATTTCTGCGGGAGCTATGTTGCGTCGCCGGCGCTGGGGTCCGCGGGCCCGATGGTCAAGAAGGTGGCGTATGGGTTTGCGTTGCCTGGGTTGATTGTGACGACGATGCTTGTTATTCATGTACGGCACACCCTTTCACTCCTTATCCAGTGTCGAGCAGTATGCTAATGCGTGTGCGTGCAGCTCCCCGCCAAAATCATCTTCATCCGCCTCCTCCGCGGCTCGCGCCACCTGACCTCCAACACCCTCACGCACTGGGGCACCTGGCTCGCCTGCACATTCGGCATCACAATCGTCGCGTACATCATCGCCAGCGCGATCCCCGTGTTCGACGGCCTGGTTAGTCTTGTGGGTGCACTTTTGGGCACGCTCATGTCGTTCCAGCCGATGGGGTGCATGTGGCTGTACGACAACTGGAAGAGGGGGAAGAGCGAGACGGGCAGAGGCAGGAGTATGTGGATTGCCATGGTTGTCTGGGCGAGCTTTGTCATTGTCATCGGCACGTTCTGTATGGTTGCTGGGACTTATGGGAGTGTTGTTGGTGTGGTTGATAGTTATCGGGCGACTGGGGGGTCGGGGGCTTGGAGTTGTCAGGATAATTCGGGGAGTACTTGACGGATTCTGTTATCTAGGTATATACTTTGGGCTTTGGGGAGGGATATGGATATGAGATTGTAAAGAGGCTAGATTGGATAGGTACATCAGAGAGCAAATGTTTTTCATTGTCATAATTCATCTCTACGTAGAAACCACAGTGAGTACTTCATCGACCGCTACATAACCCCCCTCACCATCTCAACCCTACAGCAAACACCTCGTCAGCAAGCCCACGACCCCAAAAAGCGGATAAAAGAGAGAGAAGAACATACACCACAAAAGTCCCCCCACAAACCGGCACCGCCCTCCCCATCGCCGTCCCAACACCCCTCCAAAACCCTCCCACCCCATGCCCCCTCCACGTCTGCCTCACCACATCCCTCATACTCTTATACCTCTGCTCAGCCCCAAACCCATCCGCCTGCATCTTGCTCTTGACCACGTCGAACGGGTAGTTCGCGGCCCAGAGGACCACGCCCGTGATGGCGCCGCAGGTGGCTGTTTTCCACTTTGGGACTGCGCTCGCACCCGCAGTATCTGGTTGGGTCTGGTGGGTTGTTGCAGAAGAGGAAGAAGAAGGCGGAGTGAGGCGTGATACAAGATAGCCATACACAGAAAACCACACCCCGTAGCTCCCGAACTCGCGGAGCATCGTCGGGACCTGGCCGCGGTAGAGGCCCGGTATCCCGGAGTGCGCGGTGATGTGGCGGATGCAGGAGAGAACGCCGTTATACGGTTGTGTGGAGGTGATGTTTGGGGAGGGACCTTGAGACTGGGTTTGGAGTCGGATCCGGATGTGCTCTGTTGGGCCGGAGATGAGGCTGTTTGCGAGGCCGGCGAGGCCGCCTGATAGGAATGTTTGGGGGGTTGTGAGGGGTTGGCCATTGTTGAGGGATTGGAGGGAGTGGGATATTGTGTGGTTTGTTGAGTAGACGATGCTTATCTGTTAGAGAACTTTGGTTAGATGGGTTGATGATCAGTAGAGGGATAGAGAGGAAGCGTACGCATGCTCCGACGCCGATGAGGGGTGGGAGTGTGCCCTAGGATCAAGTTAGTACATATATACATGTCTATGATCTAGTATGCCTTAAGCAGACGAAAGCAGGTACCTTGTAAAAAGCCAAAGCCCCCTCATGCTTCCAGATATCACGAGCAACCTGGACGGCGCTTCTGTTTGCTTGCACCTGCATGCGCACCTTGACGATATCGAATGGCTGGCCTGTCCTACGGCATTAGGGCATGCTCTGAGAATGTCTAGAAAGGATTAGAACGCACCAATAATGACCTGCGTTATACCCCCGGCCGCCCCTACCATGAACTCCTTCGCCGTGCTGGCGGTCTTCTCAGACATTTTGTGGCAAATCAGTAAGCACTACAGTGTGATGAGAGAGTATTCCTTTCTCTACGGGTTTCAGCTTCCAAGGTACGAGTATACTTACTCCAAACTCGCTGCGTCCAGACCCGGTCCCGCCTCCGTTGATATGGCACCCTAATCGGTACGAGGACCGACACACGGCGATGCCTATCTGCGGGGTATGTCCAGTCGGACGCGATAGCGAGGCAATCAGGTTGATCTGTACGTAACAGGAAGTTATCTCCAGACAGATGTATCTCCAGGTGACTGGCTATCATGCATACCCCGCAGAGATAGAGATGTGCCACCGGGAGGGAGGCCGAGTATCGAGAACCCACGAGGGGCTCTATAAGTATGTACTCGAGATGTTGGCTATGTCGACAACATCAGACTGCTCTCAGTAAGACCATGTCTCTCTTTACCGCTGGGAAACCAGCCCTCCCCCGCGTCGTCGTCTTGACTCCGACCTCAACCCGCTCCAGACGGAGCATCTCCAGCTCAACCCTCAACAGCAAACCAAAGACACCGCGAGTCGAAGTCCGCTCCAGCTCAACAACAACCTCTGCAACCCTGCCAGCCAGCGAGATCAAACCCGCCCCCGAAGCCCTCACAGCAACGCCACCCGCGCTCTCCGTCCTCCCCACGCCCGTCCTCCTGCGCTCCCTGCTCATCGCCACCATCTCCTCAAAGCCCTACCTCCTCCTCCCCTCCCTCTCCGCCCTCTCCTTCCTCTGCAAGCCGCGCTCTGGTCCATTGCTAAATGTCGACCGCAACCCAATCCTGCACTCCATCCTCAAAGCAACCTTCTACAAGCAATTCTGCGCGGGCGAGACCCACGATGAAGTGCGCAGGACGGTCCGCCAGCTCTCGGACATGGGATTCCAGGGGACGATCATGACGTACGCGAAGGAGACCGTGTTCGACGCGAAGACCAAGACGCAGGTGGGACTGGGCATCGAGGATGTCAAAGACGGTGCCCAGAACGCCGAGTTCTGCGCGCAGATCGAGGCGTGGAGGAAGGGGACTGTCGAGACGATTGATCTGCTAGGCAATGAGGACTATCTCGCGCTAAAGTATGCCCCCCTCATACTTCCCATGAGGCAACATGTACTAACAGCCCAGACTAACCGGCGCCGGCCCCTCCGTAACAAGCGCCTTCAACACAGGCTCCCTCCCACCGCCCCAAATGCTGTCCGCCCTCGACGAAATCGCCTCCAAATGCGCCGCGCGCGGCGTGCGCATCCTCGTCGACGCCGAGTCCCACCATTTCCTCTCCGGCATCCTCCGCGTCACCCTCGACCTCATGCGCAAGTTCAACAAAGACGGCCACGCCCGCATCTACAACACCTACCAGGCATACCTCAAAAGCACACCGGCCACCATCGCCTCGCACCTCCAAGCCGCCAGCGACGAGGGCTTCACGCTGGGTCTGAAGCTCGTGCGGGGCGCGTACATCGCCTCCGACGAGCGCAGTCTCATCCACGACACGAAAGCAGACACGGACAATGCGTATAATGGGATTGCGCAGGGCGCGCTGCGTCAGGAGCTCGGGGCGTTCGGCAAAGACAAGCCCTTCCCGTCTGTGAATCTTTTCCTTGCATCCCATAACAAGGACTCTGTTATGGGGGCTCATGCGCTGCACCAGCAGCGGGTGAAAGATAACCTGCCCACCGTGCCTGTGGGGTTTGGGCAGCTGCATGGGATGAGCGACGAGGTGAGCTTTAGTCTGCTTGCGTTGAAGAGTGAGGATAAGGGGGAGCCGAAGGTCTACAAGTGTTCGACTTGGGGTGGGCTCGGCGAGTGTTTGGCTTATTTGTTGCGGAGGGCGATTGAGAATCGGGATGCGGTTGGGCGGACTGGGGATGAGTTTCGGGCGTTGAAGGGGGAGGTTGCGAGGAGGGTTAGGGGGGTTTTGGGGCTTAGGAGGTAGGATTGGTATGGGATGGATGGTTATGATTTATGAGTATGATTGGATATGAGAATGAGAATGAGATTGATGGTTTACTTCGTGGGATCTTGGTGCATAGCTAGACTGAAGTCTTCGAAGACATTTCTTGATTATCTGGTTTAAGTAATGAATACTATCCATGCTACTTTGGATGTTGGACAGCGATCAAAGCTCTCCGTACGCGCTAGCATATGGTTAGGTACCTACCTTAGTATATCGGTGACGTCTATCAAGTTAGGGTTAGGGTTATGATCCCGACCGGATACACTCCGTCCCCACCAAGTCGGAAGTCATAAACAACATCCATAGCTCACCGGGGGAAGAGTACAGATTACGCTGCAGCTGCTATCTTCATTATCTTCCTTGCGATAAAGACAAATGGGTTGTTTGCCATGGTATCAATCCCATGCAGGTGTCTAGTGGATCTCGGAGCGCAACCCGGCCCCTCACCGGGAGGCGATCCGGTCCCGATAAGATGAAGGCATGAGGCATGAGGGGTATCATTCCAAGATCATTTCTCCCTTTCCTGCGTCGTCCACGGTTACATCACATATTCGAGACTACCTAGGTATACTCAAGAAGAGCCACCATGTCCACCAAGCAGAACACCCTCTGCATCCTCGGCTGCGGTTCGTCCCCATCATACCCCAGCTGCAAATATCCTTTACATGCTAACAGGGCTGTCAAGGAAACCTCGGCACCGCAATCCTCGCCTCCCTCCTCAGCGCCCCAGAGCCCGACCAGCTCTTCACCCACTACATCGCCTGCATCAGCAGCGATGCGTCGAAACAGCGCCTGGAAGCCAAGTTCGAACACAAAACCAACCTCACCATCTCAGCCGGCGACAACATCACCGCCGTGCAGAATGCCGACGTCGTGATCCTCGCCCTTGATCCGGCTGTTATTACTTCAGGTCTTACACAGCCTGGATTCAAGGAGGCACTGGGCGACAAGCTGCTCATCAGCGTGGCGGCAGGGTGGACGGTCGAGAAGATCGCCGAGACACTCTACGGCACGAACCCAGCCGAAGACAGCAGCAGCGGTGAAACTGAAAAGAAAGCAAAAGCAACAATCATCCGCACCCTCCCCACAATCTGCGCCCTGGTCTCGCAATCCCTCACAGCAATCGAAGTAAACCCCGCCTCCCCACCCGCACCCCCAGCCCTCGAAACCACCGAAAAAGTATTCTCGTGCATCGGCCAAACCCTCCAAATCCCACCGAGCCTAATCGACGCCACAACGGCCGTCGCAGGCTCCACGCCCGCAATGTTCGCGATTATCGTCGATGCCATGGTGGATGCTGCGGTGGCGGTTGGTGTGCCGCGATCCATGGCGCAGGTCATGGTGGTGCAGAGTATGAGGGGGTCTGCGGAGATGATGCGCTCTGGGTTGTCGGCTGCGGAGCTGAGGGATCAGGGGACTAGTCCGGGGGGGTGTACGATGGGGGGGGTTATGGTGCTTGAGGAGAAAGGAGTAAGAGGGGGTGTGGGGAGGGCGGTGCGGGAGGCGGTTAGTGTTGCGAGGAGGATGGGGGAGGGAGGGAATTTGAATGATACCAGGTAGAGTAGCGCCGGGGGAGGGGCATTGCTGTACATATTGGATGGATAGGGAGTCTAGGGTAGGGTAGGGTAGGGCAGGAACGAGTTCATTCTCTCCAATCAAGCAATATATTCGCATCCTATTTGTCAACCATCAACCATCGCAATCTTTGCATATGGATCGCTGGAAATAGATCGGTAGGTAGGAAACATAGAATACCATTCAAGCATCAGTTCATCTCCTCATACCCAACCCCGTACGTGGTTGGGAACCTATTTATGCTCCGCAATATACTCCCTGATATTCGGCCTCGCCTCCATCGCCTCCTGCAGCTTCACCAGGGACTCAGGGAGCGACTCCTACACATCACAGTCAGCAAGCATCCCCAACCACCCCGATCAGCATCAGAACAAGAAAGACAAACAAACCGGCAACGTCCCCGTCCTCCTCTCATTATCAATACTCTGATACACCGCAAAATCGACATACGTGATCCGGTCCCCCAACAGATACGGCCCGGCTGTCTCATCATAATACTCCCCGATGACCTTGTAATACTTCGGCACAGTCTCATTCTTATACTCCTCGCTCGCGCCCTTGAGGCTGCAAACCCACTGCCCCCGCCAATCGATATACAGATCCGCCACCGCGTCGACAATGTATTTCTCGTACGAGGTCTGTCCGTCGTACGCGCCGAGTTCGCGGGCCAGATAGCGCAGCGTCGGGATGTGCTGCGTGTAGATCTTGTCGCCGTATTCGAGGGCTGGGAGGAGGCCGGTGCGTGTTAGGCCGGAGGTTGTGAGGGAGGCGCTTGTCGCCGGCCAGGTTTCGTCCCAGGCGTAGAGGGTGGGTTTTGTGGGGATGGCGGCGTCTTTGAGGAAGAGGCTGTTGGGAGCGTGGTTAGTTCAGGCTGGTGATACTGGAGGTTGCCCCAGGGTGGATGGGAAGTGGGGTGAG